AAAGTCCCAGGCCTGACTATTCTGCTTTCTGTTGTTTAATGGCTTCTTATTTAACCTTTCTTCAAGCATTATTCATTTAACTAATTCAGTCCATGAAGCACATAAATAGCTGGGTTTCACTGTCCTGGGTACACCCAGACCAGGAGGTTTTTGGTGCTCCAGTGAAGCACATTTTCCTACTTTCCTTGCTGATGAAAATGGCCAGAAAAAATCAGAATTGCACTGGATGCTTGGACAATTTAAGAGAGGGATTGTCTGCAGAAAGTGACCTGATACGAACCCAGAATAAAGTGCTTGAGCAGATGCAATAAAGCCAAAGCACATCCAGCTTTATTTTGTTCCAAGTATTTTCAAGTCATATATTGCAGTATATTTATAGATGGGCATGTATTACACATATGCCTTTATAGTATTACACTTTAAATGAGCATTACATTTTCTTTCTCTTCACTGTGAGGCAAATAAATTAGGTTTTTCCCCCATAAAGTAAAATTATTCCAGTTTTAAAGGAAACCTGTTTCTTGGCACCTTCCCCTGGTGTGCAAGCCAAATATTCTTTAGCATCATACAGAAAACTTCAGCAACATCAAGCATTAAGAAACTAATCGGGGCCTCCAGAATAATGGCGTAGAATATAAAAAATAATTTAAAAGTGGTTCTATATGTTAAGTACTGTGTTCTCCTCATCTGTTCATGTTTTCTGGATTCTAAGTGCAACCAGAGACTAGAAACTTACTCTTTTAAAAGGAACTTGGCTTTCACATAATCAAATTATCTCAGGAAAAGATTTTTAAAAATGGGTATTCTGTGTTTCGGGATAAAACCTTCACATGAAACAACACTGGTCGCAGCTTATGATGATTTTGTTTCATTAGGTCCTATAAAATACCTAAAGCAATTCTGAGCTTCTCAAGGTCGGTTAAGAGCAAACACAAGAATTAGTAGTAACAAGGGCGGGGAATGGAAATATCTGGGGGTTTTCTTCTCCCTGACCTTAATTTGCTGCCTCCCTTAAGGACAGACCTTGCTGTAGCCATCCTGCTGAGTCATTTCCCTAGAGGATGCCAATTTTAGGGACTCATTAAATGAAATATCTCATCCCAAGGGAAGTCCCAAGAGTACTTCAAAGTGCTCTCCCTCTCCAGGCCCTTCTGCAGTGGTTTTATCCCACAGTTGTCTGGTGTAATGATGTTTTTCTTTCCTTTGGGTTGGATGTGCTGAGCAGTGGCTGTTTTAGTGACCCCTCTTAGATCCTGGCTGTAACTCTTATGTGGGACTGGGACTTTTGGGGGGCTTTGATGGAACTTTTGTCCTGTCTCTAGAGGGATGATCTGAATTTCTTCATTTGAGTGTAATACTGGTGAATTTTGTCACTTCAGCTTTACTATCCTTTATGCTTGGTCTCCAGCTCAGATTTGCAGTTCTCTCAGGCTGCCTGTTCAGATCAATAACAGATTTCCTCACCTCTAAATATGCCTTTTTTTCTATCCCTACATGCCTTGATTACTGCATGTTGATGATATTAAATCTGCCTTTTTACCAGACAGTTTGAACTCCATAAAGAACTGATGCAAATACCATGGACAAGGATATATTTCCACTGGAAAATGGGATAATTCTGTTGCCTTACTCCTAACTAACATAACCTTGTTACTGATGACTCCTCTTTCCTTAGCCTCATAAATAATAAAACCTTTTGTATATTTACTTCACGGTCAGACTCAAACTTGAGCTCACCAGAGCAGTTCCTTTGCTCCTCCACATTTCTCCTGAACTTTTTGCTCACCCTTCACCTGGGACTGCTCTCTCTGGGCTGGGATTCACATCATGTCCATATATAATATAAACTTACAGAAATGTTCGGCCAAATCCGGGTGGGTTTTTTTCTTTTTTTTTTTCATGGGGAGGTTCCTAAATGGCATTTTGCACATTCTGGAGTGTGTCAGTTATAACAACTAAATAAAGGAGGTTTTATTTCGCAGTCAGCTGCATCCCTGACTCCAAGCTCCCCCTCGCATCCCCTCTGCTGGCCCTGGCGATGGCTCTGCCCTCCCCCCTGGTTGCCAGGGTGACTGGGTTTCCCTGATGCAGATGCTCCCTGCTGGCTCCCTGCCACCCCTCTCCCGGAGACAGAGCCGAGTTTCCACTTTCCCTCGCATGCTGAGGACTCCTGGCTGCTCCTCTGCTGCTCTCCTCCTTCCTGAGCACACCTGGCTCAGCAGCTGCTGCCAGGACCAGGGATCTGCTGTGCCTGCAGGGTGGGATCAGCAGCCTCTGAGCCAAGTGAGTGAAGTGGAAGTCACCTTGCTTTATTTTTCCTCTTTTTTTTTTTTTTTTTTTTTTTTTTTTTTTTTTTTTTTTTTTTTTTTTTTTTTACTCTGATCCTTCTCGAGCTGGAGTCCAGCCAGTTTTCACTCTCTCAGTGTGGCTGTGGTGAGGAGGAGGAACAGGACCCTAGAGTGGTACATATGCAGCAGAGGTAAAGCCTTTTTTGTCTGTTTTTCAGAATGGGTAGTATGGATAAATTCAATTTCCAGGGTTAGTGACATTGGAAAAGGGATACTTGCAGTACTTTTGAGGACATTTACCTCAGAGCTTTTGCCAGGGTTTAACTCAGAATTGACTGAACCTCACGATAGGGCATCTTTGAATTCAGGTGTGGAATTTCAGATTGTTCAGAAACTTTGTGAAAGAATTCAACTGTTTTCTGTCACTGAGCAAACAGATATCAAATCAACTTTGTGCTCAGCCTAAAAGCAAAAATTTCAGGTCCTGCACACCTTTTTCAGGTTGCTGGTAAAGGTGACCCCATCTTGGATTCATTCTCCGAGGTCAGTTCTGAGTTACAAATCAACGAAGAGTTGATTTTGCTAAGTATGACTCAGCTGTAGCCAAGAAATCCTAATTTTAATAAATTAACTTCATGGAGTTATTTGTCCAGCTCTAGGTAAAATGTTCTTTTGAGATCTCAGTAAGGAAATCTTAGTTGTTGCAGGCTAAGAATTTAGGGATGGAAATTTAGGGATGCAAAACTGCTTATTGATAGTTCAGTCTCTGCTTTTCCACAAGGCATGAGTATTTTGTCTCATATATTCCCCTACATTCCCTGTGGCAGAACATCACATAATTCAAGGAACAGGACTTTTAATACTCTGTATTCTGGGGCACAATGACAAAGTGCATGAGGCTGGTGCTGTAAGTGTAAATTATGCAATGTTTCCAAATATTTGGACAAATGTGGTCCTTTCCTCAAGTTCATCCTTCATCCTCTCCCCTGCACTTTCAACAATCCATCTTTTGAGCTTGTTTCAATGCAGTTTGCTTGTTTTTAAAGTACTGATATATATGCAAATCTCTAAGAAGTAATGTCATCCTTGTTTTATAAGAAATCCAGGAACTGCAGCTCCCAGACACACTTATAACCCTCAGCATGCTTTTCTTTCTAACTTAGTAATTTATTTTTTAAACACACAACCCCTTACATCCAGCAGAGCTCTGCTCATGTGCTGGTTCTTTTACATGGGACTTATTTATCAAAGCTTTTCCTGCAGTGGTTGGGAAATGAAGATAAAAAGCATCGAGCCACTTCCATTAACAAAGTTAGTAGGAAGAACTTGCTGGAGCAGAGTTTGTAATGTTTGTACATTGAGCTGGAAGAAAGATATTCTATATTTAAAATACTTCCTTGGAAGAAGCATTGGAACAGCTTTTCCTGTGATCACAGTTTTTCCTTTTTTCAGCTAAAAAGTAGTAGAATAGCTGAGGAAGGCTGCAAGAGCACCAGGCTTATTCCTGACAGGTTGGAGCCTTCCTGGGCAAGCTGAAGTCAGTATCCAAGGGGTTAAAATGGAAAAGGGAATGATCTTAGATTTCAGCCTCCTGTGCAGGTCTCAGCTTTACTCAGACATCAAATATCAGGACATACTTTAATCATGACAAGGCTGCTTTGACCAGGAAGGTAGATACAGATTTTTATCTTGTGTACACCAGGCTGTGCTATAAATGTAAAAATTACTTTATTCATCAATATATGACACTCTGAGGAGTGTCTTGTCTTACAGCAGGGGTTGGGGCAGGGGGTTTATTTGACACAGATTTCCTCAGCACTTTTGGAAGGGCAATTTGCAAATGAAGTGCAGGATTCATTACAGAGATTAGTCAAGGTTATTTGATGAAATTGGACGTTACCACATCCGAAATAACTTTGGGTTTTTACTTTTCTTCTGGTCTATTATTACAAAAATAAATCTTTTAAATGCTGAAATATTTGCGGTCATGTTATGGAGAAGATCCTTCGTGAGTGATACAAGCTTGCTTTATTTGCCCTGAATTAATGTGGATGAGATCTTTGAGAAGAGTTTAAATGCAGTTAGCAATTCAGATAGTGCTTGGTATTGCTCCTACAATATGTACATATATATGGGGAAAATACAGAATTCTCTTAGCATGGAATTATGATGTTTTGGAGGCACAGCTTTTATGTATCAGTATGTGCAAAAATACTTCATCTGCCTCTCATCCTTCAATCTTTATGCAACTACTGAAATGTAACATATAAAAATTAATGAATATTTCTCCCTCTTTAAGCATCTGAAAGTTTTATCACAAGGGAAGATATCCAGCTGTTTTAAAAGGAAAGATGTCAGAGGAAAATATTTCTGTAGCTGATGTGTCCAAAGGAGAGCTTGCCTGTAACTAGAGAGTGAAGCATCTTGAAAACTCCACAATGTCAGTTTGAGAGTCAGTGCTAACAAGTTAATCTTACACTGGCAGCTGCCTCTCAAGAAGGAAAAATCATCCTATACGGAAGAGCTGAAATATCTGCTCTGTCCAAAAGCTTTCTTGTATTCTAGCTAAAAATCAGTATAATATTTGTTCCCATTATCCTTAACATGATATCACTTGAAAATGATAGAACTTATTTGAGCCATAGCTGCGTTTTCTGTCCCAGACTGTGCCTTCAGCTCTGTGGTTAGACCAGTTAAGAAGGACTGACTTACCCTGTCTTCTTCAGCTCTTAAGTCTGGCATTGTGCTCACACAAAGGCTGACAGCTGTGGTGGCCACAAAGAGGATGGAGAGACAAGCAAAAACTTTGCCTGGCAGTCCTGACTGGGGATTTTCCACCATATCTCTGAGTCTGTTCATGAACTGCCCGAATCTGGTTTTCTCATCCAAGACACACGAAGCCTCCTTGCTCCTCCGGAGCTCCTCTTCTTTGCGGATCTCGGCCAGCTCCTGCAGCTTCTGGAACAGTTTCCGAAAGCAGCAGTTCTCCAGGTTGGATTCCTCAATGCCCCAGTACCTCAGCTCCTCCTGGAAAGACAAGGCACACATGTCTCTCAGGAGCATCAGCTTCCCCGCTGCTAGGAAGCTGACAATCATCCCGAAAGCGTTGGGGTTCCTGTCGAAGAAGAACTCGTGGGTGTCCTCATCGTAATCGTCGCACAGCTGGATGATTTCTTCATAGCTGCTGCAAAGCTTTAGCTTGCTCAGTCTGGTCAGGGGAAACTCGTCTAAAGTACTCCAGGGCAGCAGGTACTTGATGCCTCCAACATTGATCATGATCTCTGTCTTCAGGTCGGCTGCAGACACTTGCTCGGGGTGGTAAATCCTCCTGGCTCTCTGGTAATGGACCCCCTTGACAGAAGGGGTTTCCACACAGATGGGAAGGAAGTGGCTCAAGGAATTGCAGGAGTTGTAGCTAATGTTGCTATAGTCTTGGTCGCTGCCTCTGGAGAGAATAGGCATCTCTAAGAGTTCTCACCGGGACATCCAGAGCAGCATCAGAGCAGGGGGATCTGTCAGCCAGAAGGTACAGGCAGCAGGAGAAAACATAGCACAGGTTACTGCGAGGGAAAAGGTGTTTCCAGCCACTTTCCTCAATCGGGAAATCAATGAGCGCCTGTTTTGTAAGTAAAAGTCACCTCTGTGCTTCTCCCTGGAACCTGCAGCCCGTGAATGAGCTTTGCTTTGCTGCCTCATTGGTTGTCTGGCAACCCAGGCACGGAGCAGAGCCACAGCCTCATTCATAATTATCACCGAGGCTGGGGTGCCCGCAAATCCCAACGGGAGCACCTCGGGCTCTTCTCCGAGCACCTCTGGCCACCCTTACATCCTATTTTAGATCCTTATTTTCCGGTCGTTGTCGCATCGCTTTCTTATTTCTGTAAACCCCTAACCACACTCTAACTTAACTAAGCTGCTTAATAGTTATTAGAGAGAGAGTGGTCAATTACCTGCCGCGTTCTAATTGCTTTAACGGGACTGCTCAGATCGTGATTCCTCTGCCTCTCGCTGCACGCCCGTTCTGCCCTGCCTCTCGGGGGGATTGCAAGGATTAACTGGGAGAGGTTTAAAAATGCCTTAAATTCTGTCTAAATGATGTCTGTTCTCATCAACCCGACCTCGTGCCACTGCAAATTCCTGAGGAGTTAGAGGGGGACCTTTGCCCACCGCGGAGAAAACTTTGTTATAAGCACGCAGAAAGTGTTTTTCCAGCTCGGAGAACTGAAATTTAAATTCTCCTTTCAGGGGCAAACCCCTAGTTTTGCCCGCAGTCCCTAGAGATTAAAAAGCACTTTTTTTTTTTTTCACCCCAAGTTAGAGAAGTGCAAAGTGCAAAGGAAAGTTTCCCGAAGTGACTTACCAGCGGAGCAGGGGCAGCTGGCGGAGCGGGGCTGCCCCGCAGGTGATGCTCACCTGCCGCGCACGGAGCAGGGGCCGGCAGCAGCTCCCGGGGGCATCGTCCGCTTCTGGTTACATGGAAAATCCCTGGAGCACTCTGGAGCTCTTTCCTCTCCCTCCTTCTCCTCTTTCCTGGAAGGGGAAAGCAGCCGGGTGTGTTGATGTAGCATATGTTGTGCTAAGGGATCCTCCCAAAGGTGTCCTGAGCGGCAGCTCCTCTCCTGGGTTTCCTGCTGGAGGATGCTGAGGGAGAGCTGGTGGATCCTGCCCTCTCCCTGTCCCTCCTCTCTTTCCCCCGGGACTGTCGATGTGGTCCTGGAAGAGGAGGGGAGAGGGAAGGGGGAAGGGCTTAGAAATAATCTCTCCAGCATCCCTCCGTGTATCCAGCAGGCAGCAGGCAGCAACTGGGTAAGAACATGGAGTACAAGTCCCCGGCTAATGAGGTTTGATAATCAGTAAATTCTGGCAAATCTACTTGATAAAACAATTTCAGTGTCTATTAACTCCTTCCATCATAGTCATGCTACGGTCACTTGGTCTGGGAAAACCACTTCAGTTTGTCAGCAGCAGTTTCCATCACCTGCATCCCTCTTGAAACTGGGATTTGCTCTCTAATATCCCTAGATGGCAAGGGGAATTTGTAGGGTCCAGCATTCCTTTAACCATGAGGGAAATGCTTAAATTACCACTGCCTGGTCCTTTTCCAGATCTGCAGTGCTTTCCCAACAGCCAAGAACTTTTTCCTTTGCTCTTTACAGATGATGGGAAATCAAACCTTACCATTATCTCACTGCTCATGCATGGCTGTAGGGGGCTGGGATTGCTGTAATGCTTTTTGGTGCTGCAGTTGGGATGGCACAGATTTCACACAAATTCTGTTTGCTTTCACACAAATTCTGTCTGCTTGGCCTCGGGCAGAGGGTCCAAGAAACCTGGACTCAGGTTCTGTGGACAGGTATCCCCTGTGGGGCTCCCCAAAAAACCTTGACTCGTGGCTGTAGCCAGTGTGGCTGAGCTAAATTCTCTGAGGTGAATCCTGTCTCCAGAGAGATGTGAAATTTGTGGGATTTAAATGTTGTGGGAGTCCAGGAAATCCCTCTGGCTGCCCTGGCTGTCTCCAGACCCTGGCAGGGGGCTCAGAGACCTTGGTACAAAGTCAAAAACAACCGTGGCTTCCATTTTAGCCCATGGAAAAAAACTTTGTATGAGGAATTACAAGCCACAGGGGTTTGAGTAGTGTGGTAGTTGAATTAACACAGGGTGAAAAAGTAGAATTTTAGGGTTTTAAAGGAAGGGGTTCAAAGGGACAAGATGAAGGGATTTGGGTGTGTCCTGGCATTCTTCTCCATCTTCTTGCCCTCCATGTCTGGGTGTGGTGGTGACACTTTTCTATTGGTTTAAGGTAGAGATACACTGTCCAACATAAATGATAGATATTGACATGTTATTGTAAAAATAGTACATATAAAATGGTAGCACCACCCCAAGGGGTGGGAGTGTGTCACAGACTGACCTGCTGGATAGACTGCAGCTTCTTGGGAAAGCATCTTATAGACAAGAGAAAATAAACAACCTTGAGAAGCCGACCCTGCACATTCTGACTTATTTGGCCGCACGGACTGGGAGAAAAAGGCTTTTTACAATCTTGGGGTCACCTCGACCACCAGCCCCCCAAGAAAATGCCACACTGGGAGTGTGAAGGTCACCAGGAGAAGTGAGATGGGGACAAAGTGCAGTGCTCCTCAGCCCTGTGAGGTGTGAGGAGCTGCTGAAGCCCTGAGCTGCTGCTCCTCAGCTTTTATCAGCGCTGAGCAAGCTGTGGCACAGCCTAGGACAGGAAACCTTTGCTAATTGTGCTTTTGGGGCACATCTCTCTGGGCCCACAAGGTGTCCACAAGATTAACTTCTTATCAGGCTTCACCACTGGGGTTTTCACTCCAGCCCTAATTATGCCATCCACAGAGAAAGACCAGCCAGATGCCTGAAGGCTACGGAGTTCTGGGAGCACAGCTCGGAATCACTCAAATCCTACCCCTTTGTGCAGGACTCAGCTTGCTCTGCCCATCAGTCTTTCTCATGGATTATTTCTGCGAAGAAAAAGTAAACCTATTCTAATTAACTTTGGATGGATTGTTTCACAAAAGGATAAAACCAATTAGCATTTCCTTCCCACCTTGTGAAAGCCCTTACGTGGTGTTGTTAAAGGTTATTTTTCTGAAACCAGCTGACAAGAAGGTGAATAAATCCAAAGCAACGAGCAAATACTGTGTGCAATTGAGTGATTTAAGTGCTACATTTATTTATCAAGAAATACATGTACTTTAAGTTTTCTTTTCTAAGACTGGGTACTCTAATACTTGTTTTATTGGGACATGCAGCTGTGTCTGTAGCTAGATCAGGACCTCATTGCTGGCTAGAATCATACAAATATCTATCAGAGACAGAGAATGGATAGAAATATTTCTTTCTGGATTTGATTAATGGCAGATGAATGCACACAAAATAAAAATATCTGTGTCTGAGGAAGCCAGGCCCTGAACCCAGCTCTGAAGGATTTACACATGCACCTCACCCCAGAGCTGTCCTGTCCTGGCCAGCCTCTGTTTGTGCCCTCCTGGACCCTTCTGCCCCATCTGCAGGAGATCCTCCTCAGCACTGATATCTCCCTGCAGGTGAGAAAGAAAAATCCCTGGCTCAGGTATAACATCTGCTATGTTCTTTTTTCACTTTTTAAAAAATTTTCATCACTACTGCTGTAGTTTTCCTTTTAAATTCTCCATGCCCTTTTCAATACGAAGTTCATAATCCTTAATTTCTTTCTCTGTTCCCTGTTTCCCTCACAATTTCTGGAACTGCTCCCTCCTTGCTCTTTAACCATCTGGTTATATCAGCTCCTTACACACCCTTTATACCTTAAATGCAGTTTCCATATGCTTGGCTGATTTGTGGGCATGGATGACATTCCTCTCTCCTCCTTGTTTCCCTCCTTTGGTAGCTTTGTCATTCTCCTGTGGTTTGGTTTAGTCCTTTGTTAGAATCCTGAATGCTGAGAATTTTAAACTTCCTGTGCTGAAGGGCACAGACCTACAAGAAAATACTATATTTGAGAAGGAGAAGAGTTCCAAAATTGATTAGTAGCACTGGGATAATGGGTGTGGAGTTTGATTAGAAGTGTGTAATATCACAGGGTGGGAAACTTAGAGTTTGGGGTTTTAGAATATAGCAATATATATGGGGCAAGATGGAGGTTTTAGGGTGGTGGCTGGTTGTTCTTCTGCACCTTCTTCTCCATGGGTTTGGGTGGGTTTGTGTAATTGGGCAGAAAAGTCCACAGTGCAGACTTTGAGTGATTGGTTATTGGGTTAAAATTAAAAATAATTCATGTGTCATTTCTTAACTGGACAGTTTAGCTTTAAAAGACCTTGTATGGGAAGATAGTTGGCCATTTTGTAGCTTGTTAGTAGAATGCTGTAGAACTCAGGACTTGTAATATAGATTCAGACCTGAGTCTGAATGTGAATTATCATCTGGAGAGCTTCAGTCCCAGCCTTGACAGAGGTAGAAAAAGAAGCCAGGAGCTGGCAGTGCCTCTCTCACCCCTGCTGTACAGCTGGGACAAGGTGCTGCTGCTGAGGAAGGAGCAGAAGGAGGTGCTTGCCCTGAGCAAGCACCTCATAAACTGAGAAATTTATGAGGTTTATTTCTTATAAACTGAGAAATTTATGCAATGAAGGTTCCCCAGGCACGAGGTTGGAACCTGACAGCTCAAATTCAAACCCTGTGGCACGCACAGGAGAACCTGGCAGAGCTGTCCTTGGAAGGCAGCATATTTCCCCCCAGGTTTCAGCAGTGAAAGCCCTCCCAGACCTGGGTTCAGGGATTGGTAAGAGCTGATGCTGCAGGAGATGGCAAAGCTGGAGGTGTTCACTGTCACTTGCTCACCTGTGGCTTCACCTCTCCTGTTCTGCTCCCTGCAGCTGTGCCAGCATCCTGCATAAAGAGCAGATACAGACAGAAAACTGAGATGGTTTTCTTTTTTCCACAGAGAACATAATAAAAGTGTAGAATTTATGGGCACATGCTGCTGCAGTGGCCAAAAGTGTAAAGTATTTAGAAAAGAACTGAGAAATTTATGCAGTGAAGGTTCCCCAGGCAGATCCAATGTCTGGCACAGAAAGTCAGCAACTCACCTATCCCTGGGCACCAAGGAGGTGTTTTAGCACAACCTGGATGCTTTTTCTGTCCTTTCTCCCCCAAAATTATTGGTAGATGATGTACAGGGGTCTGCTGATGTGACTTTGTGTTCGTGCTGAGACACCTGAGGGCAGCCTGGGCTCTCTGAGGTTGGTGTTTTGCACCTTGGAGTTGATCATGCAATATTCACCCGACAATATTTCTCTGTCAGAAGAGCCAAAAAGATCTGAATTATCTGGTTATATCCATATGTGCATGTATAGATACTCCAGACCAATGCTGTCTGTTTATAATGGGCACTCTCACTCTGAAATGCTCTGTGCTTCCAGCCTCCCAACCATTCTGCAGGGAGCAGCTTGTAATTTAATAAAAGCACTGTTGTCAATCCTCCTCCCTCCCCAAACAGGCTTTTTGTGATGCTTAAATATAATACCAAGATAATTGCTTTGCCTGGCATCTCTAACACAAGATGCATTTCAGGCTTTTAAAGTCAGGGGGAAAACAAAAGTGTAAATCAAAATAATTATTTAAGGAAATATGAATTCACTGGAAAAGAGGAGTGAAAAAATGAGGAAAAGAAATTAATTTTCAAAGCCTGCACTCTCCTCATTCATTGGCTTAGAAATCAGCCCGGTGCTGCATCTTCAGTGGGTGCAATTTCATCACAAAATTTTTTGATGCTGTTTCTTTTACTGGTTGAGTACACAGCCTGTTGTCTGTGAGCTCTCATTCTCCTTTAGGCCTCAGCCAATATATAGGCCTGGCCTTTCTCAGGTTCTTTATGTTTGTGCCATGTGAATGCTGGTGATAAATAAAACAATTTTTTGGTTATTGAAAAAAAAAAGAAAAACAAAAAAACAAATTACATGTGATTGAAAAGAGCATTTAAACACCCAAAAATTCATTTAAATGCTTCCATTGTGTTCACTGGTGGTTAGCACCACTGGAATTAATTGGATTTAGATAGCCTTGTTACATGGAAATTCAGCCTCTTTTCAGATCCCTCTGTTACTCACTGGCCATAAAGAATAGCTTGGCCTCCTTTTCTCCATTTAATTATGACATTACAAATTGCAAGGTAA